CAGTGCTACCGGGATTTAAAAATAGTTAGCAAAACCTAGCTTGCCTGCTCCAACTGGCTTTAAAGGGTTAATTAATTTGACTAACAATCATTCCAAAACATTATAGTGTAGCCTTCTGGAATTCAATCAAATTCAATTAAAAGGAACCTCCAGCAGAACCAGGGTAAGGGCAGTCATCTGTCACAACTGGTTGAGGAGGTGGGGGGTACCACAAGACATATTATGGGAGGGCGTTTATTAATTAATAAAGATTAAATGTAAGAGTGATGCATGAAAACAAGAAAAGAGAAAACAGGTGAATAAAAAAGAAACAGTGCATCATGGGAAGCCCCCAGCACACGGAGACGATAGCAGTATGGCTAATGGATGCTTCAGTGTCACCCAATCTAACCTCAACGATAAGCTTTGTCAAAAAGGAAGGTTTTACGTCCAGAACAGAACCACAAAACAGAATTGTGATACATAAATGAATTAAATGCGAGAAAGCCTTTCTCAGAATAAAAGGTTGAACTCTATTTACTCTGTCATAAACCTTTAACATGTGTGTGAACTTCATCTGACTCATTACATTCATATTACTCTGAGCTTTATATCATTAACACAAATGGATCACATGGGAGATATGAAAAATTAAAAAATGATGCCATTAGAAATAACAACTTCCAGGATGTTCTCTGAAGTGAAACTATCTACACGTGTTTTTATTGTTGACCTTTTCCTGTCTTTTGTGTGTGTCTTTGCTTTCATAAAATTGTCATTTTTGGCCTGCATACTTTGAACATAATTCCATAATTATTACTATGGTAACAAGATGATATGCAAACAAACCCACCCTGCATTAACACCCGACTCCTCCTGTTTGGCTTCCAGTTTTCAGGAATCTCCATTCAGTTCTGTTTGTTTTACTTTGCCCTCAGACATTTATTGTTTGGAACTCATTTTCTAACGAAACATATCACAACGTTCCTCTTAGGAGCTATCGTCATAAAATTGGGTAATTACGTTAACGTTTGTTTTATACTGTAAGTAAATAAATGCACGCCTCTTCGCAGGTAGATGATTTAAAGCTTTGGGGATGTGTCTGGCTGCCCTTTCCCTGAAACTTCTTCCTTTACTGAGAAACTTATCTGTAGATTGCTAATAAAACACAAACGCAGACAATTATAGTCCTACATTAAAACTTTCCTTTTTTCCACATTTGTCATGTGGGGATTTTTTTTCACTTCATTCATTTTTTTGTCACTGTCTCCATATTACCTGTGAAAATATACAATAAAATCCCCCCAACTGGTCTGACTTCGGTTTCTGTATGTGCTCCATTACCTTTAGTGGATGATGTCATTTCTTCTAGCGGAGAATAACAGTAGGCTTTAATTTGAGTTCTTCTGCCACCCAGTGGTGACAAGAGTAACATTCAGTACCTAAGAACAAAGAGGAGCTGCCCGAGCCGAGCAGACAGCAAAGAGGGGGTGAAATGCATATTTTGATTCCATGAGATGGAATTTGCTATGCTATGAAATATCCACAGGATGGTGCCATAATCATCAGCATGGAGTGCGCTCAGTCCAAGAAAAATGCACTTGATTCTTACAGACTATTGTATCTCCTTTATCGTTTAGCTTACTATAGGAAATAAACGTATTTGAAACATTTAAACATGCTGACGTGTATAAATGTGTTCCACTACAGCACAGTGGAAATCAAATGTAACTTTACATTCACAGCAACTCAAAAATTACATTTGGAAAATATCAACAGCAACATTTTTAAAATCAATCCACAGACTATTTTGGCAAGATTATAGTTTAAAAAACAAACAAACAAAAACCGTTTAGTTTTTATTTCTACTTTGATTTTTTTTTTTTAAACTAAGTTTAGTTTCTGTTAGCTACCAGAGTTTTGCTCATTTCAGTTTTTAATGTTTGGAAATGTTTTTCTTTGTTTCGGTTTTACTTTAAGCTTTTTTAATTTTTATACTAGGGGTGGTATTTGTCAGGGGAAATTTTTGTTTCAGTGTTACAGCGCAAAACAAAATACTTTGCGAAAGCAGTTCCATTTTACTATTTAGTTACTGTTTTTAGTACATAATATTGTTCAGTCTTTAATTTCTATTATCAAAAGCACTTTTTAACACCTACTTGTAGCTGTTTTTTTTTTTAACTTTAGTTTTAGTGACCCCAAGACATGGTTTTGTTTAAAGCACACAATTTTCTTAAAAATTAGTCTCTTAAGATCCATTTGTTGGATTGCAAGAATTACTTAGAACAATCATAGCAACTTCCATGGGTGAAAACAAGCTCTTCAGATGAGTTGCCTGCTACATTTTTTTTTTTTGTTTTTGAATTTTGACTGTTTTTCCTTTTTACTAAGCTACATTAAAAACCCATTGTCCTCATACAGAGCCCGCACTGACATCCACGGAGAAGTCATCATTTCGTCAGGCTCCCAGCAAGCAAACAGCGCTGTGGTAGTAAAATGATTAATCAGCCACTTTGTTAACAGATAGAAAATAGGTGTTTGGTAAAGGTTTGGTGAAGGTTTATGGTAACTGCATGAACATACTGGTGGTGGCCAGTGCTGCCCTTTAGCGCCTAATTGATGTGTCTATGGTATAAATTTGAAAATCCTAGGTAACATCACTCCATTTATTGCATTCACGAGATTTTCAGGGGGCTTGACCTCTGACCTTGATTTCCAGGTCATGGGATTCACACTCATCTGAGAATTTTAGTCGATACACCGATGTATTGAGTTATCACGTTCACAGTCTTGAATGCCTGCTTGCCCAGCTGAGGGGTAAAAACCCACAGCATACCTACTTTTTTTTTAATTTTCATTTTTTTTTATATACGATGAAACACCTCACCAACAAGTAAACTCGGTGTAAACTAAAAAAAATTAAATGTTTTTAAAGCGATCAAGATGGGCAAGATGTCAGAGTTGATAATGTCCCATGAAATATTTGGGAAACAGAAGCTTGACTTACCTCATAGCAGCTAATTAATGTTACTGACATTGTTTCAAGAAAGAACCATTCTTGCTGAGCCTCTTACATGTCATGAATAAAAATGTATCCCCTATAAATTAAACTTAACTCCATTGTATTTTGTTTGGATCACTATTTTTTTTTGTAATTTTAGCATCTTGCACCTCTTTCAGGATCCCACTGATTTTAATTAATTTCCATACATCAACAGGATTTATTAAACTTAAATAACTGAAATGAAAATAAATAAAAAAACGAGACACACTTTCAAAAGTTTTAATAGAAATCTGTAAAAATGAGAAGTTTAATGGTAAACATGAAAATGACAGTGATTGTATTATGTAGAAAAAGCAACAACACAACAATACATGTATCTATTTATGAAAGAAAACTGCACCGTAGCTACCGTGTACGTGAAACAGGTCTCCACTGGATATCAAATCATTTGTCAGTGCACTCGAAAAGGATCTGAAACTTCTTTTCCTGGAGATTTCAGAAAAGGAGCTAATCGTGAGCTTGCTTCTTTAAAAACAAAAATAACAACAATAACAACAAAAATCAGACTAATAATAATAATTATTATAATAATGATAATAATAATAATCACAGCTTTTAAGAATGACATATTAAACCACAATCTTGACATAAAATTGCACTTCAAAATACTGGTTGGGTGAATAAATATTTGCGATACCTTTTTATATCCATTTTGGTAATACAGTACATAAACACAGCAATAGTATATTAGCTGTCAACAGGGTTAATAGGGAAACTGATTTAAACTTTGTCTATTTTCATTCCAGCTGCTTTTGCATATAGTACAGAATTTGCATATTAGCACAGAAATAAATAAACACCAATGACATCAAAGAAGGGTAAAAAAGATTTACAAAACATACTGCATATCTAACATAGTGTCCATATATATTAATAATATAATTACATAACAGCGTCATTCAGAAGCGGTGCTCAAGTGCTTTTGCGTTTTGTCGTCAGACTCAAAACAAGCGTGTGGTGATTTCTGGCCACAGGCTGGTCTTAGTCTTTTTGCACTGTCCCTTCAGACTCTGCCTCCTATCAGAGTTGTGTCTGGGAGGAAGGAGCCTTTTTTTGGCCTTGAGAGTTCTCAGGGTAAACACATCTTTCTCTAACAGGTGCATCTGCGCTCACCTCCAGGTGTCTCGTCTCTGTTCTGGGACTCGACGGCTGCTGGATGGTGAAGGATCCTTGATTTTTTTTGTTGGGTACGACACCTGCAGGCATTTGTCCTGTCGCCTCAGGGTTCGGTAGGCTGGCTTGGCTGCTCAGCGGCATCTCTTTAAGAACGTCCTGGTGATGTGGCAGAGCGAGCCTTCCCTTTGGAGCCTCGCTCAGTCTCATGGATGCCCCTGAGGTGTTAGCAGTCGTGCTGCTCAGGAAGCTGTACATTTGCAGGGGGGACCTGGGTGGAATCATGTGAATCCCCCCAATTGGAATCAGCATGTTTGGGGCTCTGCTTGGCTGCTGCGAGTGCAGAGGAAGGTGACTCAGGAGGTTGTGGGCTCCACGAGGACGCATGGAATGCGAGGGGATGTGGGTCAGACCAACCTCATCTACACACTACAACAAAAACAAACTGAAATTTCAGTGGCTCTGCTGGTGGTAAATTCACCTACAATGAACAGTTAAGAGCAGACATAATGCCAGTTGGCTGGGCTTAAAGGTGCACTAAGTACAGTCTTAATGATCTGTCGATGATGTAAATCAATAGCAATGAAACAATGATAACCTTAGCTCTGATGCTGAGAAAGTTTTAAAAGCTGAGTTCTGCAGAGGTGCTCTGAGTTAGTTATCAACAATACAGACAATTTTAAAAGTCAAGCAAAAATAGGCAAGAATATTAAAGATTCAATTTCTTTTAAATGTCAAATTAGCTGGTGGCTGTGCATCTGGGAGTCAGGGATATAAGTCAACTTAAACCCACCAAAAGCTTTTGCTATTTGCTGGCGTTGCGGTGTGTTTGACCTCTCATGGCCATCGTATGCAAGTCTCCCTTTGAAAAAGCTGGGGCAAGGGCAATTTTACCACTACTTTCTCAGTGTTTAGAAACTGTTGCTGTCTCAGTTCATTTTCTGTATTTTGACAAGATATCTTTTTAAAAAAGCTATAAAAATATCTCAGTTTCATTTTGATATGGCCATCTATAGGATATAGTGTTGAAATTACGATTAAATGAAATCACTGCATAGAGGTCCCCCCCACCTTTTTTTTTCTCAAACTGACTTTTTACAGTGTCCCAGCTTTTGGACACAAATAGTAGTTCTGCTCTAAAGTGGAATAATAAATACTGAAAAGAATCATGGCAGACTGAATATCGCCGCTGTCAGAGAGTGAAAGGGTTTGTGCATCCCATGGCCTATGTTGTGGGGGGGCTTTTGCCCCCTGTTAGGGTCTCCCATGGCAAATTTGTCCTGAGGGACCAGACAGAGTGATTAAAAACCCCTATGAGCTGAAGATCCAGGGAACAGTTGACCCTGCATGGGACAGGGTCATCAGGTCCCTGTACTGAAGCAAGGCCTGGGAAGGTGCCCAAAGGCGAGCGCCTGGTGGTCAGGCCTTAGTCCATGGGACTCGGCCGGGCACAGCCTGAAAAAGGGACCTTGGCCCACCCTCCTGTAGGCCCAGAATGCAGGAGGCACCGTAGGGGTTGGGTACAGTGTGTGCTGGGCAGCAGCCATGGGGGGTGACCCTGGTGGACCGATCCACGGCTGCCGAGACTAGAGATTGAGACATAGAACATCATTTCTCTGGTGGGGAAGGAGCCTGAACGTGAGACTCAACGTGAGGTTGAGTCTGTGCATTGAGTTGGACTCAGCTTAATGTACAGCTTGGGCTCTTGAACCAGTCTCCTGGAGAGGGGTTGTACTATGTCTCAGTCTGGAGTTGCCCTTGGTGAGAGACTGGGATGGGTATCTTAGTATCCTCTCGGCTTGTTGCCAGTATGGTGGAGTTCTTCCCTGGTGGATGAAAGGGTTTGTTCCCTGGGTCGGGGAATGGGTCCTCACTGTCGTCTACGTCTATTCACTGAACAACAGTTCAGAGTACCTGGCCTTCCTGGAGTCCCTGACTTCTTGAGGGTGCTCCAACTGGGGACTTTCTCGTCTTACTGGGAACGCTCATGTGGGCAACAACAGTGAGACCCGGAAGCGCGAGATTGGGAGGAACAGCCTGCCAGATCTGAACCCGAATGGTGCACTGTTACTGGACTTCTGCGCAAACCACAGTTCATCCATAACAAACTCCATGTTCCAACATAAGGGTGTCCATGAGTGCTAGTGGCACCAGGACATCGCAGGCTGCAGGTCGATGATGATTGTGATCGTATCATCAGATCTGCGGCCATATGTTCTGGATACTCTCGACTGGAAAATCTATGCCAGGTTCCGCCCATTAGCTGATTCAGGAGGAACCTGCCGCTTTCATGCCAGTTGTGGAACACTAGACCAGCTCTTTAGCCTCCTGAGGATATTCAAGGGTTGGTCCAGTAAGGTTGGCAATAAGTCAGACTCTTTCCCAGTGACCGTTGGACTCCACCAGTGCTGCCCTTTGTCACTGATTCTGTTCATAATTTTTACGGACAGAATTTCTAGGCATAGTGATGGAAGGCTTCCACTTGCGTGGCCTCAGTATCTCGTCTCTGCTTTTTGCATATAATGTGGTTCTCTTGGCTTCATCAGGTGGTGGCCTCCAGCTCGCACTGGAGTGGATCACAGCCAAATGTGAAGCGGCAGGAATGAGAATCAGCACCTCCAAGTTTCAGGTTAAGGTCCTCAAGTGAAAAAGGATGGAGTGCCCACTCTGGGTCAGGGAATGCCTGAAGTAGAGGAATTTAAGTATCTTGGGGTCTTGTTTATGAGTTAGGGGAGAGGGGAGTGCGAGATCAACAGAAAGGTTGGTGCTGTGGCTGGAGTACGGGGAGAGGGAGGTCTGGACTTCTCTGCTTATGCTGCTGCTCCCGCAACCTGGCCACAGATAAGTGGAAGAAAATAGACGAATGGATGGATGGATATTTTTTTCCTCCTTGTTTGAAATGTCCCATTTTCCAACATGGAAATGTTGTAAGTATTGTATCCAGCTGAACACACAGCTTAGGAAACATTACTCTTAGACTTTTTCGAGTCCAGTTGAAGTCTACTTGAAGCGTGCTTGCACAAGTGCTGTACTGTTGTGTAGTGTCTCCTTGTCAGTGTGGTTATTAAAAAAACATTTACAGGTACAGTAGGTACAGTCCAACAGGCGAGCTACTGTAGCTCAAACTGCTGAAAAAGTTGACGCTGGTTCTGATAGAAAAGTGTCAGAACCGAGCATCACAGTTTGTTGTGTATGGGGCTGCATAGACACAGACCAGTCAGGGGGACCATGCTGACCCCTGTCCACCAACAAAAGTGCCAACAATGGGCACATGAGCATCAGAATTGGACCATGGAACAATGGAACAAAGTGTCCTGGTCTGGTGAATCACATTTTCTTTTACATTGCTTTTACCCTGGGAAACACCTGGTAACCAGGATGTACAATGGGAAGAAGGCAAGCCAGTGGGAGTGTGATGCTTTGGGCAATGCTTTGCTGGGAAACCATGGGTCCTGCCATCCATGAGGATGTTACTTTGCACATACCATCTACCTAAGCACTGTTGAAAACCACGTACACGCTTTCATGGAAGCTGTGTTCCCTGATGGCTGTGGCCTCTTTCAGCAGGATATTGTGCCCTGCCACAAAGCAACAGTGGTTCAGGAATGGTTTGAGGAGCCCAACAATGACTTTGAGGTGTTGATTTGGCCTCCAAATCCCCCAGTTCTCAATCCAATTGAGCATCTCTGGGATGTGCTGGACAAATAAGACCGAATCATGAAGACCACACCTCACAACTTACAGGACTTAAAGGATCCATGCCTCAACAGGTCAGGGCTTTTTTGGCAGCCAAATGGGGACCAACACAATATTAGGCAGGTTTGTCATAAAGTTATAGCTGATCCGTGTATATGCAAACACAAGAGGTCACTCTATCGTGAATGTGAATCAGTACCTGCTCCTCTGGGACCTACATTAGTGTGAGGGGTATGTGGTGAAGTTTCACCATAACATGTTTGGTGTATACTTTTTGCTTATCAGTTTTTAATTAGGGTGAGCCGAGATACTCACCCAGGCTATTTTTGTTGTTGACATGTGGTTCCAGTCTTCAGAATTTAGTGATTGGCCTGCTTTTCCTTTTTCCCCCTGGTTACCCAGGGAAAACATGTGTCTATTTGGGAGCTCTCCTGCATTATTTTAGGGCTAGGAGCTGCATGGTTGCTTTGTCTGATATAAAACAAGAGAGCTGCCTTTCCTTACCTTTCCAATAAATGTGACTTTAAAATAACCTCATATGTACCAGCCTATCTATATTTATTCTAAATGTTGACTTGCTGGAATTTAACTAAACCACACAAGATTGGCTTTGTGAGCTGGAACCTGATTTATTTAAAAACTTTAGGCTAAACTAATAGAGTTGGATCAAGTCACAGGTGAGTGACGCGGTTTGAAGAAAAGCCACCCTTTGGCCAGTGGTAATTATACACGCAGCAAAATTCTGACTTAAGTATACAAAAACTAAAAAATTAAATCGTTATGAAGAACACTCAAAAAATGCTGTAAACAAATGTTTTGAAGTCACTCACCAGCCTTGCCGTAGATGCTTGTTCCCTTGGATGAATATGGGCTTGACAGTGAGCAGAGGTGTCAGCCAGGGAGCCCAGAAACCCATAGGAATGCGACCCCTGAGACTGCACTATTATAGGAGAGAGGCCTCTAACAGGGGAGATTGGTCTCTGTGAGGCAGTGGAGACATGACAACTGGATGGGGAGAGGGATGAAGGAGGAGCAGGGGACTGGCAAGGCCTGGGTGATGGGTTGCGAGATGGAGAAAGCTCGATTTGTGGAGTCAGGATTTGACTACATGGTGAATGAGGACCTCCAGAGGATGCTAACGTTGAAGCGTCGAGGCGTCTGCGGGCAAACAACGCCCTTCTGGCACTGGCTGAGCTTTTCTGGCTGGAATCCCTGGAGGTAATCGGAAAGGATGAGCTGCCTTCAGACTCCCCCAGCTGATGTGCTGGATGAACCTTCTCTCTGTTAGTGTCAGAGCCTTCAGCCGCTGTTGACCGGCTGTCTTTGTTATGCCCGTCATACTTGTCCTCGGTGTTTGGATCCCCTTGATCTCCACTTTTCCCAGCATCAGAGCACTGATGACCTTTTTGTTGATTTGGCTGACATGATGAGATTTTGCAGACTTCAAGGACAGAAAAAAAGGTTTATTTTAAATTAATTTTATATTTAACTTTTTTCACATTTTTCTTACATTAGTAAGGCAAAACATCAAGAACTTTATTTAGATTATTTAAAATTTGACATGTAGATGTCAACATGTAGAGAGTTTATGAAAGCTTAGGTATTTCAATTTCCTACAAAACTTTACATTCATTCAAGACTTCAAAGGCTGCAATGCATTTTCTGAGTAACATGTAAACCAGTTACTATTACTTAACTCTTACTATTAACAGTAACTTATTACTCACTCATCACACACACGCTTAACTCTGAGTGAAAAATAGTTGATTGAACTTATTCTGATCAGCTTTTCTAGAACTGAAAACTCAGTCTTGCAGATCTTAATAAACTCAGTTTCATTTATCTAAATAACTCAATGCCACCTTTCCCTCATCTGCTACGATACTTGCTCTAATTAAGCCCTCCACCCATTCTCCCAACAGGGAGAAACCCATAGCCTGAGAAATTCTGAGAGAAACTAGCACGAACATAAATGACTCAAACGCAGTAGAAACTTTCATCTTAGGATTTTTCTATTCATTTTTTATCGCATTCGTTATCTTGAAGGAATTTGTAGAGCGGGTCACTATGTTAAATAAAAGGCAAAATGCTGGCCTGGCCTCTTGTTTCATGTTCCATTTATCTAAAGAGGTTTGACATTTGATAAAATGTGTACATAATAAGGAGTTAGAAGCAGACATTTAACACAGTAAGAATAGTGCTAATAATGCTAATGTGGTAAGCATAGGACAAAAAAGAAGAGAAAAAGGAGCACAGGGCATGTAATTTACCAAGCAATTACTGCATTTATCAGTAATTGCTTGGCAAAACCAAAAAAATTAATACTCACTGAAATATGTCACTGTCTTAGTAGCATAAAAAAAGTTGTACCTTCATGTGTGTTCCCTGGATAAGAGCAGGTTTCCTTTCCATGTCCCTTAGATATCAGGTGTTCAGTAAGACTCCCTGGAAATAAAAAAGAGCCGCTCACTGTTGATGCACAGAGAACACATACAAGAAACTTAAAATGAAAAAAAAAACAAAAAACATTTTATTGCCTGTCCTTACCTGTAGCTTTGAATGCGGTTTCACAGAAACTGTAGTTAAATGATGGTGATTCCTTGGTGATTACTGTAGTATCGTCACACTGGCACTTTTCTCCAACTCCACCACGTGCGTCATCATACCTCTTATTTGATCTGCAAATGTAAAGAGAGAGAAAGAGGTTTCAGTCTGGTACTCAGGGTGTTTCCTTGTCAGTCAGCTCAGGATGATAGCAGCAATCAATATGAATGTAACAGGAGCTGACAGCCAGGCTGGGGGCCCTTCAGCACCTGTTAGTGACTGCATTTATCCAATGTAAGTGTAATGTCTGGTGCTGGCCTTTACAACATGGGAATTTCAAACTGTGGCGGCTGGGCTCGGGGTCCACACCACTTCACTTAGACTTCTTTCAGTGAGGCACCTACTTCAGCTTCAACAGAGAAGCTTTCATAAGCCAAAAACCAGCCCCCTCCGCCTCCCACCCTTCACAGCTAACACAACCACCAAGCCCAAACAAGAGGGAGCCTTCGATGCGGCTTCAGGTCCAGAGGTTTGCTGAAAGCGCAGCCAATAAAAACAGGCACAAGAGGGAGGGAAACCCTCGCCCAAACCAGCAGCTGCTCCAAATAAACGTGAAAAAACACTGAAAATAAAAACACATTCCTACGACAAACAATGGTTCTGGTTATAATTGGCTGTTTTTCTCTTCTATTTTCACCACAGGCTGTGTGGCTGGATAAACTCAGCAGGTATCATAAATGGTTGCTTTTACAGTGTCGGAAAACTTCCAAGTTAATGAAAGAGAAACACTTTGCCTTCGTACCTCTATACTGTACTCGGCAGGTATAAATTTCATGTAACACCCATTCCCACTCAAGATTTGAGCCTAGAGCCCTTGGCTTTCCCCACTTCAAAAAAAAGAAAGCAAAAAATGGCAACATCCCACTAGCTTGCTGCCTCCGTTGTGTCTTTATGTTCCTCAGACAGACAGAGCAGACGGAGAAAGCAGAAAGCGGGCGGGCGTGAGGATGACTCACTCTTTTTAGGAAGGCTGCGATGAGCGTCAACATGAGTCACAACAGGGATTTGTTCGCAGACACACTCCTGAACCAAAAAAGAGACACACAGATGGCACCTCTCTGCACTCCCCTTATCACATCACAGCAGTGTTTATTTCTGATAGGTATCAAAATTACTGAGCATGTCTGGCTTAACCTCCCTGCAAATGAATCTGAGGAGATGAGTGTGTGCTACATAAGAATAGTAGAACGGACTGTGCCTACTTACATCTTTTCAAATGATATGTTAGTTTCA